CCAAGTGGTGGGATTAAAGTTATGTACCACCATGTCCAATTCTCTTTTTTTTGTTTTATGTATTTATTGCATGTATGTAAGTATGCCTCTGTGTGTGTGTGGGGTAAGGTGTGTGTATCCTGCTGTCTCACTTTCTGCCTTATTACCTTAAGACAGGTAGGTAGGTATTTCTCACTGAACCTGGAGCTAGGCTGACATCCCTAAAGCCCCAGGGATCCCCCTTCCTCCACTACTCACAGCACCTGGCTTTATCACATCCGAGGCCACACCCAACTTTTTCTTACTTGAGTTCTGGGATCCAAACTCATGTCCTTATAGTTCAGTTCCACAGCAAGGGATCTTACCCACTAAGCAATTATTTCAGCCACCTAATTCAATTTCAGAGTACACAACTAAATATCATTCATTGAATTCATAATGCTTACAACTGCAGTCTTTATTTCCAAAACATTCCATCATCTCCAAAGTAGACCTCAAACACATTAGCAGTCAGCCTGATTTCCCCCTTTTCTTCCTTCCCCAGCTTCTTTCTGTGAGTGCATTTTAATCTCATTTCTGGGGCTGGAGAGATGCTCAGTGGGTTAAGAGCACTGGTTGCTCTTGCAGAGGACCCTAGTTGGGTTTTCAACACCCACATGGTGGCTAATAACTGTTAATCACTCCAGTTCCAGGGAATCTGATGCCCTCATCTAGCCTTTGCAGGCATTGCATGCACAGGTACACTTAACATGCATGTAGGCAGATGCTCATACAAATAAAAGTAAATACAAATTTTGTAAAAATCTCAGTTCTATGATGAGAATTGGGCATAAGAAATTAACACATTAAAATTGGAGATTATTTAATAACAAATTCACTACCAAGTGTCCTTGTGTATAGAGTGGGAGGTTCAGAGACAGATCTAACATAAAACCTAGTTCTTTACCTAGTTATAGCCTGGGAGTCCATATTTTTCTTTTCAGTTTCTGGAGTACTTGGAAAAGCATAATTATAGATAAGCAGGGACTATTGTAGTTTGCAATTCTTGATGTTAAATTTTGGGTTTCATCATTTATACTGTTTTAAACATTTGAATCCAAATATATATGACATTTATGCCATGATTTCACAAAGTATACTTTAAATAAATTTACTTATTAACTTGTTTTTATACTTTTGGGACACTACAGATATGGGATTTTATTTTTTTATTTTTTTTGAGACTTATTCTCACTATATAACCTAGAATCCCTCAGACAGGATTCTACTTACTATCTCAGCCTTGCCAGTGCTGAGATTTATATATGTGATGCCATGCTTGGCTATATGTAGTATTTTAAAAATCACTTAAAGAATTATAAAGAAAAAACCTTACATGCTATACTCACTTGATTTTTAAGAGAAAGTTACTTTGTTTTATCATATTAACTAAATCTGGTTTATAACATTTTTTCTCTATAGAAAATAAACTTGTCAATAATGTTCAGCTTTGAACAACTGAGCAAATGTTGATGGCTATTTATCTAACTGTCAAAATTAATTTTAAATAACATAGGTAGCTGACACAAAATGTTTATTTTAAAATCTACTTCGCACTTTAGAATTTCCAGTGTAGATTAGTTGTTAATAAGAAATTGAAGAATATCAAGTCATTAAATGTGATAAAGTTATAGGTAGTTATTTGTCAGGTGTTAATTTTTAAAAATGCAATAAACTCAGATATTTTCTCTATGTAACATGTAAATACCTATCTACAATAGAATTTTTTTTACCATGTTAGAGATTGTACACAAGAACTGGAAATTGTGGTGAAGTACTTTACCATTGAGCTGTAATCTATGTCTTTTCAATATTTATAGTTTCATATAGAGAACATAAAAACCCTTGAAAGAAAAATCTATCATTCTGAAATGGAGTCACAGATGTTTTTAAATGAAGTAAATAAGATACCTGAATAAAGTGCATTGATTGCCACAGTTCTGTATTAGTGACAATTTACAAATAATATAAATGTCCATGATATCTATTATAAATATGGCATATTAATATAATATGGTTATATACTGTTTTTAATGTCCATAAACACACTAGGTTTATCATTTAAAAATTGAAATGCTTGAAAAGCAAAGTAGACTTTAAAGAAGAAAATGAAATAAGAGTATAATATGGTGTGATACATTTTTTAAAGGGTAAAGTCTGTAGTGGTCATAAAATGAAAGCATGTATTTTTGTTGTAAAGTAACATATGCAGACACATAGTATTAAAACATGGACAGAAACATGCAAGTCAAACTGAAGATACTGATTAGTTCCAGAAAGGCCTGGAATATGGGTAGTAGTATTACCGGTCTCTCAGGTTTTATGACACAAATAATAAAGATAAATTAAATATCATACAGTACATTCAAGTCAAACTGAAGGTACTGATTAGTTCTAGAAAGATGTGGAATATGGGTAGTAGTATTTACAGGTCTTTCAGGTTTTATAACACAAATTTTAATAAAGATAAATATCATACAATGTTAGTTTTTAAAAATATGGTTGTCAATTAAATTTTTTATATTTGCAACATTTTTATCCATTTAATATGCTTTCTATGGGTTTAAATGTATATTCAAAAATCTAATAATTCCCCTTCTAGTTATAAACACTAAAGGGATTTGTATATCAACAAATACATAGCTGTTTTTATAATTGCAAATAACTGGAAACTATTCAAATAGCAAATGACTCTATGGCTAATGATACTAAGAACTGTGACAGAGATCTGTTTTGTGAATTAGATGATTTGCGTCACATCAAATCCAAAGTCAGTTCTGATTGACTGCAAATGTAAATGTTAAGGATCAAATAAGAGGCCTTTAGGGAAGCATCTAGAAGAATGTCTTTGTGACCTTGTAGTAGGAAAATATTTCTTAAACTAGACATAGGAAGCAGTTAGTTTGAACTAGAATCTGGATATTAAAGTCCAATAGAATTTCTGTTCATTCAGAGATGCCATTAAATGAATTAGAAAGCCACTTTTAGAGTGAGGAAAGATATTTGCAGGGTATATGTGCAGAAAAGGATTAGTACTTATAACATGAAGAATTATATGAATAGGGCTAGAGAAGTAGCTCAGGGGTTAAGAAGCCTGCTCTTGCAGAGAACCTGGATTCAGTTCCCAACATCCACATTGGTAGCTGACAGCTGTCGGTAACTTCAACTCCAGGGAATCTGATACCCTTTTCTGGCTTCCATGGGCATTACAGGCATGGGGGACTTACATACATGCAGGCAGGCAGAACATTAATACATTAAATTAAAATAAATAAGAAAAATAATTAGTATGAAGAAATAAGAAAAGGACAGTCATTCCTACAGAAAAAATAGCAAAATATTTATATAGGTATTCCACAAAAAAAGGATTCCAGATGGCAAATATGTGTATGCCCAATTTGATTTGTTTTCCCAGCTTCTTTAATTGGAAGTTTGTGTCTATATAAATCTTTCTCTTTTTCTGGTGAAAGTGCTTAACACTGTAGATGTCCATCTAAGTATTGCGTTACTTGTACCCCACAAATTTCAAAATACTGTGTTTTAATTTTTTATAAGTTCAAAATATTTTCAAACTCCTCTTGGATTTTTTCTCTGAAACAAATATTTGTTTGAAAGAAAAAAAATTAAATTACACTGGGGAAGTACCAGGACTGTGTACATGTATAGGAATTTGCAGTTGAGGAGAGATATTGGTTTTAGCTTCATATACAGGGGGAAATTGAGTATTAACAGCTAAGGAGCAGAGTGTGGTCATTGAATATAGAATTACAAAGAGGAACTATCAGGGATAGGGAGAGTAGGATAACTGACCTAAAGACTACCCATGGCATCTGAAGGCATGGCCTTCAGAGTGGTGGAGTCTTCAATCAAATCAGGATGATTAGGTACCGGAGGCAGAATGCTTCTTTCTAAACTGATTTAGCAGGGTTCTTTGCTAAGTAAGACTAGATCTATCAACTGCACAAATGCATCTGTGGTCCATGAGAATCTTCAGAGGGATGATTGGTGTTCGACCAAGCAGATAATCTTTATCAGAAGTAGATTTTTAAATTTAAAATTACTTGAGGATTTTCCACATATTCTTCTGATGCTGGTTCCTAATTTAATTGTGCTGAGGTAAGAGAAGATGCTTTACATTTCCAATATCTTCTTAGGCTTGCTTAGAATTATTTTGTAGCTTAGCATGTGGTGGTATGTTGTGATGGCTTCATAGCACTTGAATGTTTATTTCCCTGTTCTTTGAGCTTTATATCTGCTAGGTCAAGATTTTTAAGACTCTTTCAACTATTCTATATTCTTACTGAGTTGAGATGAAGTATATTGCTTTTTCTGTGTGGACTCATATTGATTCAGTATGTTGTATGCTATTAGCTAAACAAATGATACCCACATCAGAACTTAATCATTGTGTGGTTGAGTGGGCATGTGTGTGTGTGTTCCTGTCTCTCTATGATCTTCCTGTGAGGATGCCAGTATATACTACATGACTTAAATGTTTGAAATCCTTATGTATGTGTATATGTTTATATAAACAAAAGAAATGCATCCAGGCATCAAACTATCAATTTAATTATTTAAAGAAGTAGCTCAAGGGAAAATAAAGTTAACTAATATTTTACTTTAAGAATTTTCTTGGGCTGGATAGATGGCTTGGTGGTCAAGGACCTGAGTTTTCACAACTGGCAACTCACAATTGCCTGTAACTCTAGCTCCAGGGAATGTGATGGACTCTTCTGGCCTCCATGGGCACCTCATCAAATGTCATACACTCACACAGACACAGACATAAATAAAAATAAAAATTAAGTAGATCTTTAAAAATTCAACTGTATGTTGCATAAAATTTAGTCAAATGTTATTAATATGTTTTTGTTTTTATTTTACCATTTCCTACTTTAAAATTACTTTTACTGCCTTGTTTACTACACTATTCCTTAACTTACACAATTCATATAATTGTTAATTCTTCAATATTTTCATAGGATGAATCTTCAAGAGGAATTGGATGAACTTAAAGTACATATGTCTGCTGATAAAGCAACAATACAGGAACTGAATAGGTACATAACAGCGCAAAGAGAAGGTAATGTTTAATGAAAATAAATATTTAACACTAGTGTTGTTAAATTATCCAATTTTTGATGTTTTAGTTTCAATTTAAGAATCTTACCTAATTTCGTCCTTTTTCAACCTCTTTATTTATCCATTTACTTAATTCATTAAATTTTTATGTCTCATGAGAAAATCAAACCCAGTGAACCCTTGAAAATCCCACTTTCGGGGGCTGGAGAGATGGCTCAGCGGTTAAGAGCACCGACTGTTCTTGCAGAGGACCCGGGTTTGATTCCCAGAACCCACATGATGGGTACGAACCATCATTAACTCCAGTTTGAGGGGAATCTGAAACCCTCTTCTGACCCCCGCAGCCTTGCACAACACGAGTGTGCTCACATACATGCAGGTGATACCCTCATACACATCAAATAAAAATAAAATATTAAAAAAAAGAAAATCCCACTTTGGACAGGTCTCACAATTTCTTAAAATTTTTAAATGAGGACAAAGTGAGACAGCCCAGTGGCAAAAGTACATGCTGTGTAAACTGATGACCAAGTTCAATCCCAGTAACACCTGTAAAAGTACAAGGAGAGAACTGAGTCTAAAAGCTATCCTCTAATGTCCACACATGTGCCATGGCTCACACATGCTTGTACCAACACAATGATAATTAATTTAAACAATTTTTAAAAAATACTTGATAAGGAAAAAAAGATAATTTTTTCTATTATCCATTGACAGAGTTTCCCTAGTCATGCCTTTTCACAATTATATATTTATATTCAACATGAATAATTCATTTATGTTTTCCTTTGCCGTTACAAGATTTTGAAAATATTTTATCTAATTTCATGGAGCCATACTCTTATACCTGTAGGAAACTTGGATAATTTAAATTTATGACTAAACTGTCCCACAGTAGGGAATGCATTGCTGTTCCCATTGTAAGATCGCTCCTTTATTTAAAATAAACATAACTTTATTTACTGTAAAACTTCAAGAATCTCAGAAAAAAATCAATAAGGTAGATAGTAAGACTTATTCCCAACCTTCTGCCACCTAATCAGTGCCACTGTAAGTTGTTAACACTATACCTAATAATTACTCTTAATAAACCTCTCTTCTGACTTTGGTTTCAATGACTGTTTCAGTGGTTCTTACATAGGTCATTCCTGATTTATCAAAGTCAATATTTAGCACTTCTATTTTACATTTTTAATTTTCATCATATTTCAAACTTACTCCTTCATTGCCTTCTGAAACATTGCTTTTATCATTTTATCTTCTGCTCTTCCAAAATCTTCTCTCTTCCACTGGAGCATCTCATTTATTCCTCAAAAATTGGAGTCCCTAAGACTCTCCTTGGATTACTTTTTAAAAAATTGGCTATAATTGTTTTTAATATGCATACATAAACAAACAATAAGAAAAAAAATCAAAAGAAGAAAGAAAAATTCTGAGTTCACAGCTCCCAGTCAACATATAATAGACATACTTACTTATCAATGTTTATTGTAGCATTGTTACCGTGGCTACATTATGGAACAAGCCTAGGTGTCCAGCAATAGAGCACTGGGTAAGGAAAATATGGTATATATGCACAATGGGATTGTTTTCAGTTGTAGAGAAAGAAAGAAAATGGAGATAACTAGAGATAATAATATTGTGTGAATTAGGCCAGTCTCTGGAAGACAATTATATGCGTGCATGCATTTTTGGTGCATGTATATATCATGGTTGTGGAAGTGACACTGTGTAGGGGACATAAGGTGCTAACGTGAGCTGAAAGTGGTAAGAACAGAGAGGTAAGGGGATTATGGGGGGACATGCCAAACATACAATATATACTTGTAGGAAAACTTCTAAAAATCGAAAAAAAGATAGTAGATTTTAAAATAATGTGTTACTGTAATTAAAATGAGAATATAAAAGAAGAAGGAGGGGCTGGAGAGTTGGCTCAGCAGTTAAGAGCACTGACTGCACTTGCAGAGCACCCACATGGTGGCTACGAACCATCCTTACTCCAGTTCCAGGGGACTCCGAAGCCCTCTTCTGACCTCTGTGGCATTGCATGACACGGGTGCACTCACATACATGCAGGCAATACAGTCATACACATAAAATAATAAAAATAATGAAATATTTTTTCAAAAAGAAGAATAAGCCATAAAAGTTACAGAAGAATTTAATTTATTTAATGTAATGTTGGGGTTTGGAAAACAATAGCCCAATGAATGACACTTTAACGTAAGACAGTGTCTTGCTGTGTAGCCCAGGCTGACCTAGAACTAAAGATCTTCCTCTGAGTGTCTGAATGCTGAGTGCTGGGCTTAGAGCCTTTGTAAACCTACCCCCAGCTATGCCAAGTAATTTGAACTAAAACTTAGAGGTCCTTAGATACTGCCTTAGTGGTAGAAATGAATGCATTTAAAACTATAATAACTCTCAGGGGCTGGAGAGATAGATAGCTCAGTGGTTAAGAAAACTGGCTGTTCTTGCAGAAGACCCAGGTTGGAATCCCAGCACCCACATGTGCTGGGACACACTGTCGTAACTTCAGTTCCAGGGGATCCAACAGCCTCTTCTGTCCTCTATGGGAATTGCACAGCACAGGTGCACTTACCTACATGCAGGCAATACACGCATACACATAAAATAAAAATAATAAATAAAATATTTTTTAAAACTATAATAACTCTCTTACAGATATGATAGCCCTCTTATGAGTTTAGCCCATGCTCATGCACTCACTATCTGAAGAAAATAGAAATGTAATTTTCTACCTAGGTCCTCTTGCCTCACTTCCCAAATCCTGAGGTGCTTGAGCAGTGAGAGATTTAAGCAGCCAAGCTCCTTTCCACAACCTGAGCCTCGCTGACTCAGTAGTCTTTATAAACCCTATGAAGGTGAGAAAAAAGTCTTTTTAGCTAACAACTGCAGGTGGGCATGCTTAGCCATTCCACCAGTGGGCCTTGGTCCACGACCAAAAATTTAATAAAGAAATTCATTTTAAAAATAATCTTCAGTGTTTATTTTATTACCAATATATAGCTATCATTAGCAATGTATGTTCCTTGAATATAGAACTATTGTCTTATTTTCTAAGAATAATTTCACTCAGAACTATAGGAGATATTTAAATGACTAGAACAGATGAATTATATTTGCATATTATTTCTGTATTGCTCAAAGAGTGTTGTAAATGAATTCAGCACCATGGTGTTAGGGAACTGGAAAAAGAAACTTGGGAACTGATAGATTATTATCAAGGTAAAGGTACCTATTCCCCAGTTGGTACATTTTACCTATTCTAGCTTTTATTATCCTTAGGAAAGTGTTCTATTTATTTCATGAATACAGAAGTTTTAATTGGGTATGTCATGCTTCAAAGACAAAAGAAATGCCTAATTCATTCTAACAAACTTGTTAGTCACTGCTTATACCAAGAGGATTTCTACTCTTCAGAGAATAACATTGTTTTCTTTTTCCTTTGTTGATAAATCAAAGTTTTACACTGACCTACAGCAGTCAAGCTTACTTTAAAGCAAAATCATCTCAGGCTAGCACAGATATGCATTCTTTTAGCTTTATGCACCCTTTTTACTCTCTCTTTTGTTCTTTAAGAAATATTACTTTAAAAAATTATTCAGTAATATTTCTTAAAGAACAGTTTTATTGTATTTATGTACAGAAAACTCAGCAGTGTACATTTTGCTCAGTTTGCTGGTGAGTTCTTTGGTCTTTGCCTTTTCTATTTGGCAGAAATGCATTCTTCCATCTCAATATTGCTTTTCTCTTTTTTGTCTTGTGTATATGTGTGTGTGTGTGTGTGTGTGTGTGTGTGTATGTGTGTGTGTGTATACTCATGTCACAGCACATGTATGGAAGTTGGAGGATAATCTTATAGGGTTTATACTGAGTACAATATTGTATAACTGTAATAATTCAACTGTAAACCTAAAAATTTACAGCCAATTTTGAAAGAGATGCATCCTACCTCAGGAAACCGTTATTGAATATGTCAATTGTGTTGTAATGATATGCTTCTTCTAAGTATGTTGTTATTAAATAAATCATTTTTAAAAATTAAAAAAAAATTATTCAGTAAAAATAAAACTTTGCCACTGTAACTTAACTGACAAGTAAACAGTTATTTGTTGGTTTGGGTGAATTTCAATTTTAATATTAATGAAAAAAAATCTATGACTTTTTCTTCAACCTTGATGTTTGCTGAGCTGAAAAGGTTTTGTTAATCAGTTGCGTAGCTAGTATGGGAGTGACTGGAAACAACTTCAGCATGGATGTGCGTTCCTGTTTGTTAAGAAGCCACAGTCTTTCCAGAAATGTGGTTTTTCACGGTTTTCCCTGCCCAGTGCATTACTTTCACTTGAACGAAAGGTTTCGTGGGGGTGTTGCAGTTTAGTCTCCTCCAGTTCTGTTACCGTTTGCTTTGTTCAGCAATCTCTCTGATCCTCCAGGCAGGGAACAAGATCAGCAGAACAAAACTAGTAGTGACTATAGATAAAAAGGCAATGAATTCTGCTTTTAAAGCAAAGGGAGAATAGTCCACAGAAGAATGAAAATGGGAATAAAAGTACAGCATTGTTAACCTGCAGATCTGTCGTACTTCTGAAAATCTTAATGCCGCAGGAAAAAAGTGATACTACAAAGATACATAATTATGTGGCTGAAAATCTTGAGAAAGGTCACCATTTAGTTCTTGGCCAAATACTTGACAAGAAAATAGACTAGATTATTCATAACTGAAAAACCAAAAAATCTTTTTCCCTTAAAATGACAGGATTGTGTTTCGGCAATATATGATGTATCATAATATATTATTTATTCTCTACAAGAACATCTCTTTAGATACCATGAAGATGCTGGGGTCAAGAAGAGTACTCCAGAGAAGAATGAGAAAGAAATATCCGAGCAGACATTACAGAAGGTAGTCTAATCTTTAAGATATTGACTGAGCAAGTTAAATCTGAATTTTAACATAAAGGATTGTATTTTAAACTGAGGGCTTATGAACGTAAAGCTTGTGTGAGTTTCTAATTTAAATTCATAATTCAAAATCATTGGCTTGCCAAAATGGGGTAAAAAAAATCAATGTTAGTGAATTAAATGTGTAAACACTTGTGCTATTGTTGACATAGATTAAAAATACTTTTATAGATGAATGGAGAAAATGAAATGATCAGGAGTTAACAAAATTTAGACTAAGTGAGCAGTTTGCTTAAAGTGTATCATGAGATTGTATAAGCCACAGCATAGATTGCTTTTCTTATTTAAAGCTCTATCACAGTAAAATGATAGTATCTTTATGCTTTAAACTTGAAAATAAATATGACTTAGGTGATTATATACAAAACTCTTTATTCTATGATTTAGTATAGCTTTCTATGTTTTATGGTTGTTTGTTAGTTCATTAGTTTCTGAGACAGAGTCTCCCAGTAGCCCCAGCTGGCCTAACTCTCTATGTAGATCCACCTGTCTCTGCCTTTGGAGTGCTGGGATTGTATTCATGTACCACCATTCCCAATAAGTTTTCTGTTTTAATAAGACCATCCCCATCAAATCTGTGGTCACAATGCAGCACAATTTACGGTTAATAGTAAAATGCTGATTTCAAATCTTAGCATTTATTTTAATACATAGATTTTTAGTAAAATAATGTATCAGGTTCAGTGATGGGGTCTCAAGTATATAGACACCTTTTGGTATTATTAAAAATATATCTTTAAATAGTTACTCTTTGACTGTTATTTGGCAACTCTGGATTGGTATTTTTTAATAGAAAACTTTGATACATAGATAAACATAGAAATGCACAAATTGTAATTAGCTACCTTTACTTCTTGTACCTGTGGATGGACTTTGAGGACTTTCCTGTGGATTATAGCTAACAACGTGCCTCCCGAGACTTCTAATACTTGCCATATGGTTCTGTAACAAAATCTGTCAGTACTCAATGACACAGACCAGGTTAATATAAGAAGAGAGAAGACAAGAAACACCGTCATTCATTCATCATGAAGCAAAGTTAAACACTGAGACCGTCTATACACTGTCAGCCAAGATGTCACATAGTTTGTATTAGCTTATCCTTGTTTCACACTATTTTTGTTTGCTAAACTTTGTACAAATTTTACATAATAAGTGACTATTTCCCTAGAGGAAAAACCCTAACAAAATCTATTATTTCATTCTGTCCATCATGACTACTAACATAAAGGACCCAGAAATGTATTTTAAGGCCTAGAGAAAGAACTGCAGATATTTTCATTGGACTTACATCAAATTTGCATACTAATCTCTAACTTTTCATATTAGCCTAATGCAGTTGCATCAGTCATGATTTAAACCCTCGTGGTTAAATTTACTTATTTTGATTATTATTTTTTAACTTATGTGGTTTTGAAGATTGACTTTAGGACCTCACATATGCTAAAGAAGTGATCTACCACTAAACTATTTGCCCAGCTCTCTTTATTATTACTTTTTTTTTACTTTTTATTTTGAGACAAGGTCTCATTAAATAGCTTGGGCTGGATTTGAACTTGTTTAGATGTGAACTCATTCTCAGGCTGGCCTTGAACTTCCAATCCCTCATTTCTTGGTTTCACGAGTAGCTAGATTCACATGCCTCTGGCACCAGACCCTGCTGAATTTCCTTTTAAGTATGTGTGTTCCTGCGTGAATTGTGGGAGGTGCGTGTGTGTATGCTTGTGCAGGCCAGAGGAAAACCTCAGGTGCAGTCCACCTATTGTTTTCTGTTTGGAGGTTTTTCTTTTGGTTTGTTTTTGTTTTTTCTTTTTTTAGAGACAGGGTCTCTTACTGGCCTGGATCTCACACAAGTAAGCCAGACAGGCTGACTGTTCCTTGCCTCCCCATCACTGGCATTATAAGTATGCCACCACGCCCTGGCTTTTTATATGTGAGCACTTTACTGATTAAGCTGTCTCCCCGGCCCTGAAGACAAGGAACTTTATTTAATGTTAATATAGTCACACTGGGAAGAGGAGGGAATAAAGGGATTCCGTGACCCTCCAAAGTCCATCATACATCTACCAATAGGTATTTCGGATTAAATAGAGTGTGAGAGTTATGTGTAAATTATCCAGTCTGGGTCCAGGTATGGTCTCTCCCATTGTTATTTCAGCTGAGATCCATCTGGCATGGCCATACAAAATTAATTCTTTATTAATCTATTAATCCCTGTGAATACAGCCTCTTGGATAACCGTCCTTTCTGGAGGGGAAGAGCTGTCTGTCCCTGTGGAGTTTTGCTCTTTGTCGAATTCCAGGTTACTGCAGAGGAAAGGTTAAAAACATGACTTACCTGTTCCTTGCTCCAGAGTGCAGACCTGAAATGAAGGCCCAGACGCCAGGCATTCCTCCTGCTTTTAGTTATCCGGTGGTCTCAAATGAAGAAATTGTGCTTCTTAGCAAAAGTTGTCGCTAAGTGTCTGTTTCAAATGTTTATAAATGTATTTGGGAATTTGTAAAGTATTACAAAGAGTAATTCTTGTTACTTATTTTTCAAGATCTAAATTGAAATCATTTTCTCTATAAGATTTTTGTATTGAAGAATTAGAATGGTTCTCTCCAAGTGCTCAGACTAAAGGCATTTATATCTTATCATTTACTAGTTTTAGATATGCAAGTGTATGTCTTTCCAAATGGCTTTTGAAATGCCTTAGGGTCTGGAATCTACACTCCCATTGATGTGTCCTATAGCATGAACAATATTTATTGAAATAAATGGAAACATTTTATTTATATGTGACCTTGAAGTTATTGTAATTTTAAATTGATAAACATTTTTCTGGAAAAAGTTATTGTGTAAACTAAGGGCCACTTGAGAGTTAAAATGGCACTTACCTAATTTAGAAAAGGAGCTGTTATAGATTTTTTATTTTGTCTTTACTTTTTTATGTGATATTATTATTAACAATTTAAAATTATAATAATTTCAACATCACATATAAACAAAATGTTTCCATTTATTTCAATAAATATAGTTTGTGCTATAGGACACATCAATGCTAGCTTAGACTCCAGCCCCTAAGGCATTTCAAAAGCCATTTGGAAAGACATACACTTGCATATCTAAAAGAAATGCTATTTAGTAATAGTTTCTTCATGTACCTATTTTTGGACTTTTTCTATACTTTGCTGCTGACAGTACTTCTCAGTGAGTGGACTATAGCCCAAGCACTTATGACATTTGAACACTTCGCAGTTTGTGCATACTCAGTTCTCTGTCACTTTGTGCGGGTTTATCTTCTTTTACCATCTGTCCTTTATTCAGCAGATGTATTATTGCATTTCTGAATGTATTCATCTACATCACCTTAGAATTATTTAAAAACTAAGTGCCTTAGATTGATTTTTGTCCTTGTACTAAATGTAACTTTCATCAGTTAGAAATGATAATAAAAATGCAGAAAATTATGGCTTTAGATTTTAAAGATGTAAATTATTCTTTCTTGTTTAGGTCATTGAGTTGGAAAATCGGGTAAAATCTTTTGAGAAAAGGACGACAAAACTAAAAGAAGGAAATAAAAACTTAAAGGAAGAAAATGATTTCTTAAAATCCCACTTAAAACAGTACGAAGAGGATGCAGAGACCAGAGAAAAAGAGTTAGAACGCCTACAGAAGGCGAGTAAAGATGCAGAAAAGGACAAAGCTGAACTTGAGGTAAAACCCGCCTTACAGAAGGAAGTTGCGTCCCTGAGGAGGCAAGTGGCCAAAGCCAAGGCTTTTACAAATGAGAATGAAGAGGTGGCAAATTCTGGGGACAAACTGCACCAACCAACAGACAAAGCTACATCTGAGATGGCTACCACGGACCTGAGGTCTGGACAGTATGATTTTAAGACAACCACGACCAAGGTTAAATTTAAACCTGCCAAGAAGAAGTGCTCTGCGGGTCATCACCACACTGTTCTCAATCACTCCATCAAGGTTATGAGCCACGTGTTTGAGAACCTCGGCAAGGACGGCTGGGAGGATATGAGTGAAAGCAGGTGAGGCTCTCATTAACTTGGCTCTGTGGTGGGGACACTGTGCATATGTAAAGCACTGGCAAATGGAGATTGAATTTCAACTACTGTCGATTTGGTATTCAGAAAATATACTGTCAGATCCTTTGAAATATCTTGGGAGGTCTTGTTCTGAGCTTATTGACTGAAATTTGCATGCAAAATTAGCCACAACTGCATGAGTATTTGAATAGGTGCCAGGAAACCCAAAAGAAGGCAATGCTTGATTTCTTCCAGTGATGCTATTTTCATGCAGTCATGAGGCTTGAAATTGACAGTTTGGCAGGTTGATTTAATTTGCTAGCCCTTTGCATATTCACCACTGACAGCTAAGGATTCCCAGGCAAGCCTACTAAGTCAGTTTAGTTATCTTGTGACATGCCAACCTGGGAGGAGAAACATTTTCCCCCCTTAATTTAGTTAGATAAATTTTGAATGACCCATTTCAGCTTGTTACCAGATGTCTACAAGCTGTTTAACATCCTTTAAATTAAGAACCATCTTCACTAATTATTTCATGTATGTATTATGCAAAGACATAGTAGTAACTTTAATTGAATAGTAGTTAAAAAGTACTTCTTTAAGAAATATAAGATTCCTCTTAAGTTGTTTAATCCCTAGTGAATATCAACAGGAGAATACTCAAAGTCTACACATCAGTTTTATTTGAAGTTTCCTGCCTGATTCAGGTGGTGCAGGTAAGTTTGGGAAACATGAGTAAAGAAACTCAAAAAGCATATTTATGGGGCCAGTGAAATGGTTCAGTGGGTAAAGGGGCCTGCCACCAAGCCTGATGACCTGAGTTTGATTCCTGGGATCCTCATGTTAGAAGAAGAGAAGCAATTTTCTCAAGTTGTCCTCTGATCTCCATATACACATCACAGAAGGCATGTACACACACACACACACACACACACACACACACGTTTTTTCAAGTTGTCCTCTCATCTCCATATACACATCACAGAAGGCATGTACACACACACACACACACACACACACACACACGTTTTTTGGCCAGAGACTCTTTTCCTACTTTCTTTTTACTTTTTCTCAGTTTCTTCCCTGGTGTCAAAAGAAGTTGGAAACAAAATACTTTTAACTTAAGATCCACTAAATATTTATTTGTATCTTCAAGGAAATTGTAGCTTCAGCTGCAAATTATATCTCAACCTTATAGTACCTATGTACTGTTCATAATATATTGGCATAGCTTATCTCTTCGTGTCTGCGTATATTGATAAATACATAAAAGTTAGGTAATGTATTGAGTTCTAATTTCATCATATCAATGCATGTGCATAAAGCCACATGTTTACATGCTAGAAAACATAATACTTGTCATCTGAGTCTGGCTTCTGAAATTCAGCTTTTCTTCTCTAAGGTTATCACTTACTATTGCATGTTCTTATTGGAGATAAGCTTAGCAGTGAAGTTCATTTTGCACAGTGACATTGTGACGCTTCTTGCCTGGCATGACAGTCTTAGGACTCATTTAGCTGCAAGAATTCTCAATGCAGTGGAACCTCACAGACTTCAGAAGATTATGTTTCTTTCAGCTTTTTATAATATAATTATTTGGATACTGAGAAAATATGGAACTTAATCTAACATACTGTATAATAATCCCCTTATTGTCTATTTCACATCATTTATGAGAACATTCAGTAGTAAGTGGTAACCTTAGAGAAGAAAAGCTGAATTTCATAAGCCAGACTCAGAACGGCAAGTATTATATGTTTTCTAGCATGTAAGCGCTGTGTTCAAATGTAGAAAGACTAAAGATTATCTTTCTACCATTTGTGCCATCCAGCCTGCCATTCATGTGTCCATCCATCCATCCATCCATCCATCTAAAATGGAGAAGGTATGGTGGTGAGACCAGCTCTAGTTGTGACAGCAGAAGCATGGGCTGGATAGTCACATTTGAGTCCACTTAAGAAGTAGAGAATGATGAATATTAATGCTCAGCTCACTTTCTCCTTTTGATTCATTCTGGAACCCCAGCCCATGAGGGGCTTCCCACCTGCAGGGTGGCTCCTCCCTTCTCAATTAAACTCCTCGTGGTCATGCCCAAAGGTGTGTCTCCTACATGATTCAAATCTGGTCAGGTTGGCAATGGAAATTAACACAATTTGGGCTAAAACTTCCATTTCTGGACCTTTTCACTCTGTGCTGGAGCTTTTACTTTTTATTTAATCTTGTTTTTCTATTTCTGCTTAGTGCTTTCCTTACCTGTTCAGTGTTGTGTAGCATTTCCTATGTTTGTTTTCTACTAGTTTCAGGTCTTAGTATTTAAGTATTTTAGTCTGTTTTGAGTTGATTTTTTTAATGGGAAAGAGAAAAGGCATTCTTTTTTTTTATTAAGGTTTTAAAATTTCATACAATATTTCTCACTCATATCCAGACCCGAAGCCCCCAGCAAACCCTATGTATTCTGCCATGCTTCCTGAGTCCTATTCATTCAGGTATTGAGTTGATTTTTATAACTATTGAGAAATAGAGATCTGTTTTCATTTTTCTGCATGTGAATATTCAGTTTTACCTGCACTGTTTATTGAAAGTCTGTCCTTACCACAGTGCATGTTTATGACACTTTTGCTGAAAACCAACAGACTGAAGATGTGTGGGCTGACCTCTGATCTCCTTGTTCTGTTCCATTTATCTGTATGTTTTCTTTCATTCTATCACTATGCTGTTTGAGTAGTATAGTCTTGGAATACATTTTAAAGTAAGAGATAGGGAAGGGATGGCGCATTCAAATTTCTCCACCTTTAATGTATCTTTTCTTTGATTGTGTTAAAACCAGATACTATGGGCTCTTCTTTGGCTTCTTTACTCCTGTGAAAATCTGATGTGTGAATTGCTGTTCATGATAGAGGACTTCAGTCAGCTGTGATTTTGCTCTGCCTCACTCACCATGTCTATGCTGTTAATGTTCCGTATTGACTTGGAGGATGTATTTGGATGAAATTAAGTTTTAAAGAAGTGAGCTTGAGTAACAGGTCTTGTCTTCTAGGACTGGAGTGGGTCTGATTCACTCAGATTAAGGGCTAATCTGATATATGGAGCTTCTGAGAAGTTTCTTTATAGACACCTACCAGCTCTTCCAGTTAACAACTCTTTTCTTTTGAAACAGTTTGGTATAACTTGGAGAAATAGCTGATTTTTATTTTTTCATCTTTTGAGACAGGGTCAAGTATATCCCAGGATGGCCTCAAAATCCTGATCCTCCTGCCTCTTCCTCCCAAGTGCTTAGGTCTTTTTTTTTAATCCATGTAAATTCCTCATCAAAATTAAGAATAAAGAATGAGCAAGGAGGAATTAATTCTCTAGTGATTGCTTTGGATTTCATTATTGCATCAGCTCTCCTTAAATCCTGCCTGCAGGTCTTCAGAGTGGAACTGGAGCATTAGTTCCTCCCAGTGTATGCCTGCTTCTGTTTGGACTGTAATCATACCGTTGGTACTCCTGGATCTCCACCCTTCAGCCCGTTGGTGGACACTGCAGATCATGAAGTTGCTAGCCTCCATAATCACATGATTCAATTCCTTAAAATATATACTTGTGTGCATTCAACCAATTGATTCTGTCTCTAGAATGGATCTCAAGTAATGGATCTCACTATCTTCTATCCTTTCCCTCAAAAAGTTATGAAGTTTGAGATTAATGTTGAAGAGTAAAGCACTTGAAGTATCTATTCATTTATTTAAAAACACTAAAGGAAAAAATGAAAGATTGTTTGCTGGGAGTTTCTGTTGTTTGGTAGTTACATGGACCTATTGAAACAAGCTCAGTCTCCATTCATATGACCAGAGTGACCCATCATATTTCTGTTGCCTGCTCTTTCAGTATCTCTGTAACAGTAGAGGCAGAAGCTTTGCATGAGCCCAAGGAAATTGACTTCTCTTAGTAAAACTCATCTGGCTATTGGCAGTTTCATATTAAATAGGAGAAGTCAAGTCCAAGCCTCCAGTATAGCAAGATTCTCCAGAGGAGCCAGCCAGCCCCTTAGTATCCAGTCAGTTACACTGGACTTCCTTCATCACAGCAGTAGCATCAGTTTGCTTTCATGAAAACAGATAACTGTTTGTGCATATATTTTTCCTTTGAACTTTTGCAAATACCACCATTCTTAGGACTTGAAGAATGGTGTATCTATGTATATTCCCACGATACCCTACATAACATTACACAGACTACAAGGCACATTTTATGGTAAAGAATATGAGGTATGAACTATATCAAGGAATTTACTAATCTTACTGCATTTTCCATTATATTATAGCACCTGTTTTAGTCTTAATTACAGTGGCCAGTAAGAAGATATCAACTATAGTGTATATCTTAAAGTGACAGTTTTTTTTAATTTCATTGAAGGCAATGCATAGGTAGGAGAATAGGGACTTACAGGTTAAAGTGGCCTCTGTCACTATTTAACTAAATAACCCATTGGGGATTTGCTTTTCATTAATATGACTGAGAGCTTAGCAGATTTCAGGGTCCTATTATCCAAGGTAGAAAAACTTTTGCTAGAGAATACCACTACTGTCTGGAGAGGCACTAAAACTGTACCCTGGTCATTTCGCTCCTCATTTGCTGTATTAACAGCAAAGGGAGACACTATTAGGAGATCAGTTACACTAATTGCAGTGAAATTAGGACAAGTCTGGAAATCAAAAGATCACTGTACCTGTTGCTACTCTTGTGCCTAGTGTTATCTATCTTTGTTGCTCTTGGAAGCAAAATCTGGAAACATTACTATATTCGTTGTTTCAAATTCTTTTGGTCCCTTCATCATCCCTACAGAACAGTTTTTCCTCATTATGATCACATTGCCAAAAGTGAAGGCAATTTTCAACCCTTCCCTTACTTGACCTCAGAGAGGCTTCCAAAACAATTGACTTCTATACTTTTGCCATACTACTCATTAAAATTTTTTAGTTATTTATTTTTATTTTAGAGTGTGACTATGTTTCCTGCAT